GAAAATTATCATACGTATATTACATGATCTACTTATTATCATGGTTATATGAAGTAAATACGATTTTAACCAGAAGTCTCTGTCGAGACTGAAGCTCTACTGGTTTGAACTTATAGCAAAGGAAGAGAAAAGTACTTAAGCAGCTGGGATTTGAAACTAAATAGAATAATGATCGTTGATAAAGTCTCTTTATGTTCTTAGTGTAGTCTACTTGTGTGCCAAGTTATACTGACATCAGACCAAAACTGTAGGAGGAGTAGCATTTTGAAACAATTTTACAGATATTTCTATTTTTAATAACCACAGCAACACCGTTCATCGAAATCAAAAACCGATACACAGAATTATGTATCTTAGTGTATTCGACTTGTTTGCCAAGTTATACTGAAATCAGACCAAAACTGTAGGAGGAGTAGCATTTTGAAAGAATTTCACAGAAATTTCTATTTTTAGTAACCACGGCAACACCGTTCATCGAAATCAAAAACCGATATACAGAATTATGTATCTTAGTGTAGTCTTCTTGTGTGCCAAGTTATACTGAAATCAGACCAAAACTGTAGGAGGAGTAGCATTTTGAAAGAATTTCACAGATATTTCTATTTTTAGTAACCACGGCAACACCGTTCATCGAAATCAAAAACCAATACACAGAATTATGTATCTTAGTGTATTCTACTTGTTTGCCAAGTTATACTGAAATCAGACCAAAACTGTAGGAGGAGTAGCATTTTGAAACAATTTTACAGATATTTCTATTTTTAGTAACCACGGCAACACTATTCATCAAAATCAAAAATCAATAAATAGAATTATGTATCTTAGTGCATTCTACTTGTGTGCCAAGTTATATTGAAATCAGACCAAAATTGTAGGAGGAGTAGCATTTTGAAAGAATTTCACAGAAATTTCTATTTTTAGTAACCACGGCAACACCGTTCATCGAAATCAAAAACCGATAACAATAACTAACAATAACTGTTTAATAAAGGTTGATAATCAAAACTTCAAAATTTCCTTATGCAAACACCCCATAAATGTACCTGATAGAAACTGGAAGAATAACACAAATTGTATTGGCGGAACTGTCATGGCTTTATATTAAAAATCAACATTCACATTTAACATGCAACTGGCATGTTCATACAAATCAACATTCACATTTAACATGCAACTGGCATGTTCATAACCTATGCGCCGATCTTACAACTGGTAAGCTTTTGGCAGCATAGCATTCACAAATATCAAACAAACCATATCATAGCTGGGGGACCTGGAGAAAACAGTATCCCTCAGCAAATGGTTACTTGTCAAAATTGCGCAAACACTAACAGTCAGTATTATCACGTTTAAACAGCAAAGTCCATAGCCTTCTTCATCAGTATGTACGCCATGACGATTTCTGAAATTGTCACATTCACACAGCAAAGTCCATAGCAATCTTCATCAGCATAAAAGCCATTACGATTTCTGAAATTGAAAGAAAACACACCGCAGAAAACGGGAACCAAAATAATTCATGAACTACATTTAAAATATTCAAACCAACCATAAAATTTAAGGGAGGGAAGGGAGGGGATTTTTCCGTCTGCTCAAAAACAAGATGGAAGTTGAAAAGACCTGGCGCATGCTCATGAGTACTCATGTATTATTAATCTTAGAATCATAATGATAAAACCGTATAATTCCGGAAAACGGGTTACACTTTGTAGCTATTTATAATTTCACAATAGAAAGCAATATATACGTCATTCTCAATAACTTTATTTATCTTTTAGGGATAAATCTGATTATTTCGAAATTCCTATACTAACAATAACTGTTTAATAAAGGTTGATAATCAAAACTTCAAAATTTCCTTATGCAAACACCCCATAAATGTACCTGATAGAAACTGGAAGAATAACACAAATTGTATTGGCGGAACTGTCATGGCTTTATATTAAAAATCAACATTCACATTTAACATGCAACTGGCATGTTCATACAAATCAACATTCACATTTAACATGCAACTGGCATGTTCATAACCTATGCGCCGATCTTACAACTGGTAAGCTTTTGGCAGCATAGCATTCACAAATATCAAACAAACCATATCATAGCTGGGGGACCTGGAGAAAACAGTATCCCTCAGCAAATGGTTACTTGTCAAAATTGCGCCAATTGGATTTCAATCATAATGAAATCCAACCGCCATCATAGCGGCCGAATTTTGACCACAGTTAACATTCATCATTCACAAATCACATCACATCATAAAGCCACAACAGTTCCTATTCCCAAAATTCATGCACAGTCACTTTGATGGATAAACAAAGTTATTACCAGAGCTGAATTGCCTAAGAGCAGCCTGCATTGTTGACAAGAAAATTTGATTACCTAAGGGAGATAAGTGAACTCCATCATTAAGAAAGAGTTTTCTTTGATCAATTCTAGGGCTGGGTATTGGCCTGAGAATTCGTATTGCGATATATTGCGATATTTTTAAATGTATTGCGATATGTATTGCAATATTTTCAATGTAATAAAAATGGCATTTTCTTACTTTATTTACTTTAATTTACATGCAGAATATACACAACTATGATAAGTAACCAACACGGAAAAAAATCTTGTTGATTTCATTTAAGTTATGCTCTGAAATTTTACCACAAAACAACTTCTGAAGTTTGGCTTAATAACAAACTTTTATAAGTCCATTTTTATATTTAATGACAAAATTCTTAATAACATATCGATATTACAAAATCGTATTGCTAGCAATAGAAATATCTATTGATCAATTCTGATATCAGGATACTTAATTGAAGCACCATTTGACCTTAAAACAAAGCTAGCAATAGAACTATTAATCCTAGATCTTGATTTCTCTGCAGCAACATTTGAAAATGAATGACGCCAATATACCCTGGGCAAAATATGTGACCAAACAATGCAAGTCAAAGGCATAACCAAACGCAACTTGTTGATAACAGTTTTCATAAATTTTTGTTGTCTTCTTAAAGGATTATTATGTTTGGCAATGTCATTACCACCTACATGAATAACAAGAAACCTTGGATGTGGCTTTGTAGAGTATAGGTCCGAAATAACCTCGTTGAATTTGGAAAAACTCAACCCTGGTAATCCCTTCCACAAAACTTTTACCCCAGTCAAAGAAAGGTCTGTGCCAAATTCTGGAGAATTCAATGCAAATTGTTCTGCTCTTTTAATAAGGGATGAACCCACAATCCAGATTGAATCTACAAGATTTAGAAACAATACATAAAGCAATCATAACAGTCTACATAATTATGAAAAACAGCACAAAATTATAACCCAACTCTAATTTTGATACCCAGATGACATCAATATGGTCATGTGTAACCATCATATTAATAGTATCATTTAAATCTAAAATGTAATCAATTCAGGTCTGAGATAAAGCTTGTATGCATCTGATACCCATCTTCCCTTTCTTTGAATTTCATGTTCAGATATGCCAGACAAATACATATGTGTAGCAGCCCCTATTCTAAAAGAGTGTGTTTTGAAAGTGTTTGTTTCAATACCTAAAAATCTTAATGCTTTGTGCAAAACACTTGAAAACTGGTATGTTGATAAGGGTGTACCATTGATATGACAAAATAAAGGGCCATCCTCTTGAGATCTGAATTGCAAGAAAGTTTCCAGTAAACTAAAACACACTGTAGACTCAACTGATTTGCTGATAGTAATAACTAAACCTTTTCCATTCTGATCGGTTTTCGAAAAACGCAACTTCAATTTGATATTTTCATTACTTAACTGTAAATCTGAAAGCTGAAGTACATTTCTTAAACTCTTTTTTGATGCTACTGCTATTTCGCTTATTCTAAAAAGACCAAAAAATGCAGTTGCAAATGTGGACCCAAATAATAAGTGCTCATACTTTGATTTTGTAACCATTGGCAAAACATCCAAAATTTTTAGCAAAAGCTGATATGTTACCGGGCTTCTGATGTCTTTTGAAGGCTTAGATCTTTTTAAACCTGTCAACATTTTTTGCACAATAAATGATTTGACTGGATTGTCTAGGCCATGTACTTGCAAACTGTGACTCAGAGCTGATAAATATACATTAGCCGTAGAATGAGAAAGATTTTTTGATGCTAGAAATGCTACAAAATTGATTATATGATCTACTGGGGGTGGCCAAAATGGAGGCAATTGAAACTGTAATCTGAAGTCATTAAAAACAACTATGGCTTTGTCATATGCAATTTTTGTGTTGTCAGAGAGGCTAGCTTCAATTAAATGATTGACATGTCCTTTAAAAGGTTCCAAAATGGAATAGGTACTTGATAAGGATGGCAATCTGCCCATGGTGCCAACTTCCTGAATCTGGTCCACTGCAATCGAGAAACTGAATCTGCAATCTCATTTATACAACCTCTTACATGAACTGCTTTAAATTGAATATTAAACTTCAAAGAAAGCAATACTAATTCCCTCATCAAAATCATGACTCGTTTATTCTTAGATGTTTTGCGATTCAAGATTTCAACCAAAGCTATATTGTCAACATGCAATATTAATTTCTTGTTTTGCAATTTGTCTGACCACAGGTAAAATCCTAAAACTATAGGAACAAACTCTAGAAAGGTTATGTCTTTTCTTATATCAACATTCCACTCCTGTGGCCAACAGAGATAGGACCAGGAAGTTCCAAAAACCACACCACAACCTATTGAGCCTGAGCTGTCTGAATAAAATTGCACACTTTTGTCAGATTCCCATTCCAATTCTGGAAAACTTGTAGTACCATTAAAATCATTAAGAAATGTTAACCACATTTGAAGATCACTATGTATTTCTTTGGAAAGCCGTACAAAATGATGTGGCTTAGTAACACCAGACATTAACCCATATAAACGACATGTGAATGCTCTACCTGCTGGTAAGGCCTTAGTAATAAAAGCTAATGAGCCAGCTAGAGACTGAAGCTGCTTTAATGTTATCTTAGATTTCCCCTGAATTTCCAGTATTTCTTTTTGTAAAGATTCTACTTTATCCTTTGGAATGAAAATTGTCTGATTAACTGAGTCTATACCTAAACCTAAGAACACTATGTATGTTGTTGGACCTTCAGTTTTTTCTTCTGAAACAGGAACACCTAACCCATTACAGATATTTTGAAATGAATCCATCAAAATTTTGCAATTGTTTGTACCATGAGCTCCAGCAAATAAAAAGTCATCCAAGTAATGAAGAACATTTTTCAAGTTGGTGTTATACTCTACCACCCATTGTAAAAAACTGGAAAATTTTTCAAATAAAGCACACGATATGGCACAACCCATCGGTAAACATTTGTCTATGTAATATTTATCAAGAAACTTAAAACCAAGAAGACTGAAGTCTTGGGGTCTAATTGGTAACAACCTGAATGCATTAGAAATATCCATTTTCCCTAATTGTGCATTTTTTCCTAGTTTTTGAACCATGCTAACAGCTTGATCAAAAGATGAATAATTAACTGAGCAAATTTCAGGATTAATGAAATCGTTAATACTGTTTCCATGAGGAGCAGATAAGTTGGTGATTAACCTCCAACCCCCCTGTTTTTTGGGTAACAGTCCTATTGGGCTGCAATGAAAATTTTTAAATGGTGGGGCATCAAATGGACCCATTATACGACCTAAGTCAATTTCTTTGTTCAGTTTAGCTAATAATTCATCTTTGTGCTCCAAGGCTGAAACCATATTTTTACAAGATACTGAACCCCTGGGACCCTCATAATTCAATGAGAAACCATATGTAAACCCATGTAAAAGTTGATTTGCCACTGTTTTATCTGGATAATCTTGTAACAAGTTGTTTAAAGTGGTAACATTGATTGGTGTAAAACCTAAATCCCAAAGGCATGGATCTTCATTGCCGAAATGGCCTTGAGAATCTAGATTGGGTCACATTAGGATTAATGTTTTGACGACCGACCATGTGCGAAGCCCCTTTTGGTGTATTTTGGCTGGTTTGATTACTGTAACATTTGATAGAGGGGTGGTTTTGTCCGCACTTTAGACAAGAGTGTAAATATCTACAATCTTTCTTAAGACATGAACCCTTCAAGTTGAAATCATAACAACGCCTGTGCTGATGCAAAGTAGAAGTGGGCTTGCGTTCAGCGACTGTTGCCTGACCCATGTAAATCAACCATAATTCTGCATCTATGTTTTCCCAACTGATCAAGCTATTTTTGGAGCGCCTAAGCCTAAATTGAATATCATAATCCCTCCACCCCAAAGTGGTAGACCGTGAAGCCCCTAGCCTTATAGAACTGATATACTTTAAAATGCCTTGAACATGCTGAGGAAACTTTTTTAAATAGATGGCAGCATAAATCAAAAAGGAATCAGTCCATTCTGAAATATTGACAATTTTCCTATCCTTTGATTTGTTCTTGATTTTAATTTCACCATCCTCAAACACAAGCAGTTGCTGAATTTCAGCAGCTGGATCTAAATGCAATAACTTAGCAAGATCTATATACTCATTATTCCAGATTTTTTCTTGTGTTGTCAAGGGTATGTTAGCCCCAAGATCTGCTGTAATACTAACAAGGGGATTAACAGGTATACATGTACCTGGCTGATAAGCAACATTTGTCGTTGCTGGAGCCGTAGTTGTCTGTTGCAGCTGAGGCAGTGTGCTATCCATGGAATTGACCTCGGATGAGACTTGAAGGCCACTGGAATTAGCCGATAAATCTTGGCTACCACTTCCGGCATGCTGGATAAGTGCAGGCTCTCGTGTTGGTTGCACCGAAGGCCCCGTTGTACTTGCAGGGGGTCTGACATAAGGCGATTTTGTCTTGGATCTCCGCGATGTCCTCGCTCTTAACAATCCAGTGCTCATTTTCTTGCAAATAATTAATACACCGTCAGAGATTTGTTTACTACTAGTTGTTGATATTTAAATGTGCATTATATTCAATCAAGTATCGAAAATAAAATGCTCTTGTTTTACAATACTACTTTTTGAAAATTAGTCAATAAATTCTAAACAAATTCATTAAATATGAATTAATATGCTTGCATTAAGCTATTTACATACATAAATTCCTTTGATTAATACAATACAATGTCGATGATACTGGATTTATATTCTCAGCAATGATTTTTCCGTCTGCTCAAAAACAAGATGGAAGTTGAAAAGACCTGGCGCATGCTCATGAGTACTCATGTATTATTAATCTTAGAATCATAATGATAAAACCGTATAATTCCGGAAAACGGGTTACACTTTGTAGCTATTTATAATTTCACAATAGAAAGCAATATATACGTCATTCTCAATAACTTTATTTATCTTTTAGGGATAAATCTGATTATTCAATATTTGTACAAATGAGACACATACGGATATCAGTATAACCAAATTTAAAAATCTTTGAACTCCATATCAAAAGATGGGGTCTAATTATTGGAATCAGTCCTTCAAACTATTAATTCTTATAACATTACTATATTTTTTGAAATTTTTTGACCGGGAAAGCAAAAAATGGTTAGCGGTCAAGTAAACTCAATTTCTTTTGACAATCAATTAGTCCTTCTTAGACCCCTCCCCTGCAAAGGGTGAAGGTCTAAATATTGGTTTCAGAATGTTAGCCAGCCCATCGAAATATAAACACTCTTACAACTACAGTATTATACGGGTTTTCCCAAAATATTGACGACCGGCCACCTTGGACCAAAGTGATCGGTCTTGTAAACTCAATTACTTTTGAGTGACAAAGGCCCTTCCTTTACCCCTCACCTGTGAAAATGACGGAAGTCTAAAGATAAGATTAAGGTTGTTATTATACGAGTTTTCAAAATATTGACCAGACTGTGTACCTAATTATAAAAAGGTCACCAGTCTCTAGTTGTTAACTCCTTTTAAAAGTCAAACGGTCCGTCCTAGTCCCCTCCCCTCTAAAACACTTAAGTCTAAATATGGGATTCAGGATTTTGACCAGCCCGTCAAACTATGTACACTTTTAACTCATTTGCGTTTTCCCAAATTTGACCGGGCTTGCTAAAGAGGTTTATCGGTCTTGTAAAATCTTATTACTTTTGAGAGTCAAACGGTCCCCTCAGCCCCCTCGCCTGTCAAAGAGAGATCTAACTATGGGATTTAATATGTTAGCAAGCTTCTGGAAGTATTTACTCTTATTCAAAACATTTGACCGGGTTGGCTACAAATTGTAGGTCTTGCAACCTGAATTCCTTTTTATAAAGATGGAGGTCTATGGGATGCAGGATGTTAGCAAGCACCTATAACTGTGTACTGTTATAAGAGTGTTCTGCGAAAATTTTCCCAGTAGTGTAGCTTAAAAGATAACCCATCTTTTAAACTCAATAATTATTCTTTTGGAAGCTGAAAAGGACTATCCAATCCCCTTCCCCTGTTAAGTTTTGACGTTATATATACTGGTATATATGAGACCCAGTTGTATTTTAGCCCTGGCACAAGGTTCACCTTTTAATGGTTTTATATGTATTGTCATTTTGATCAGGCTTGCTACATTGTTTTGGGGTCTACTCTCTGTTCTTCTAGTGATGTCTTCGATTTGCTTCTTTAACATGTCGACGTCCTTCATTTAAATGCCCCTTTCGAAGAAAGAAGGCATATTGCTTTGCTGCTGTCTGTCGGTCCACCATCAGTTTCCATTCATTTTCTCCGAAGAGGTTGCAAATTTAATATACATATTTATCATCACGCCATTTTGGACAGTTTTGCCCCTTGGACTAAGAAAAATTACAATTATTTAAAGTTTCTGTTCACTTTCTTTGCAGAGATTCCTTATATTGAATTGAAATTTGGTAAACAGAATTATCATAAGAATATCTAGGTCAACTTGTGTTTTGGGTACGATCGGGCCATTTTGAACAGAGTTACATGTATGCCCCTTGGACTTAGAAAATTCCAATTACTTGCAGTTTCTATATTCATTTTCTTTGAAGAGATTCCTTAAATTGAAATGAAATTTGGTATACAGATTTATCATAAAAATATCTAGGTCAGGTTCTGTTTTGGGTATGATCGAGCCAGTTTGAAGAGAGTTATGCCCCTTGAACTTATAAAAATTCCAATAAGTATTTTACAAACATCTCTTGTTTTTAATTTTATTAGGACTTTTACGTTATAGCGCACCGAATAAAGAATGCAGTTCACTATTCGAATAGGGAATAACCTAACTTTTGATTGCATATCAACTGTTCCTTCACCAAGCACTTGGCATTTGAAAAGAAATTTGCTGGTTATAATACAGATACATGTGCGAACTTAAAGACTTATGTCACAAGAGGGGTTGAAAGGTTCAACTTTGAGTGCTTAATTATTCCTTTAGACACTGCGCATATGATGCACCAATTTTAATTTATGCACAAGATCAATCAGGGGGAAAATGATTTATAGACACACATCTTCGATGTGAAAATGAAGCATTTATACCAAGGCAACCAAGACATGACTCGCACATTTATCAGAATTTAAAAAAAAAAGTATGTCAAAAGGTAAGTTAAGGACGGTGTAACTGTATGTTAAAGTGCACAACAAAATATTTTTTTTAATAAACTCTATGATGAACATAACGATAAAAGTAACAATAGTTTGATTAGAAAATAATGTTTAGATCTACAATTCAATATACTGTAATAATTTTACTTCAAAACTCATTTAAAATAGATTTTTCATTTTTTACGTCCTGATTAAGGATTTCTTTTACTCATAGAAAGGCAGCACCATATATACTGGTCAATCTGATAGCTAATCTAATACGCTACCATAGGGAGACATAAAATTATAATACACAGTAGCATTATATAATAAAGAACCTTTGAAAGTATTATTAAATTTTATCCCGTGGTATGAGAGGAGTTGCAGATAAGAAATTGGTACTCTTCAAAATTATACAAAAAATCGGGAGTGTTCATGTTTTGCTATGGGAAACTCATGCAAAATATATGTCGAATCAAAAAAAAAAAAAATAGAAGGCACACAAAAGAACTTTGTAACTAAGCTTCTGTGAAAGTTTCATCAAATTCCATTCAGTGGTATAAGAGGAGTTGCGGATAGAAAATGGGTACTCCAGAGCGTAACAGACGAACGGAACTCCCGATCACTATATGACATCCCCTTATCAAACGGGGGTATAATAAATCTTCAAAGATGATCTGATTCATCAGTTTTCTTCTTTGGTAGCATCTTATTTGTGATCCATTTTTTAACACTTGATTGGTGAAATACAGATTTAAACTAGAGGTACTGTGAGCAGTGAGCTCGTTAAATGATACCCCCACCTCCCGTATGACTATAATGGCAAAATCCATGTGTTGCTCTGGGTGACCAGAAATAATTGTCAGATCAAAAAGTTAAATAGGAGGTGCACAATGGAATTAAGTAAAAAATATCTGTGAAAGTATCATTAATTTTTTTCAGTTGTGGAAAAGAGATGGGTACCCTGCAATATTGTAGAAAAAATGGCAGTCTCAATGTTTTGCTATGGGAAACTCGAATTATGTCTTCGATCAAAAAGTAAAATAGAACATGCACAATGGCACTATGTAAACAAAAAATCTATAAAAATTTCATTAAATTTCATTCAGTGGTATTAGCGAAGTTGCGGATGGGTACCCCAAAGCGTAACAGACGGACATACATAAAGACAGAGAGACAGACACGGACATCCCGATCACAATATAACCTCCCACTATTCAAAGGGGGGGGGGGGCTAAAACAAGATGTGTTTGTGAAACACAGATGCCCCGAATGGCATCTTATGGCAAGGGTTGAAATTTCCGAAATGCAAGTTAAATTCCAAGATCAAGGTCAAAGTTGTTGGTACCAAAGGAAGGTCATCTCAGAGGGAATACACCTGTAAGATATGAAAAGCCTAGTAATAACGGTTCAAAAGTTATGGTCAAGGTTAAGTTTTAAGTGGGTCAAACAATGAGGTCAAGGTAAAAAGTTATTGGTATCCAAGGAATGGTCTTGTAACATGGAATACGACCGTAAAATAAGCCCTTTTACTTACGGTTCACAAGTAATGGTCATGGTTAAAGTTTAAAAAGTTGGCCAAACTCTGTGGTCAAGTCAAAGGTCATAAAATATTTATACCCAATGAAAGGTCTTGTCACAGTGAATACACATGTCAAAAGTTATGGCTATGGTTAATGTAAAGTGGGTAAAACTCCAAGCTCAAGATAATGAGGTCAATTTTAGTGGTACCAAAAGAATGGTCTTGTCATAAGGAATACACCCGTGAAATATGAAAGCCACAGATCCACCCACTTAAATGTTATGAACAAGGTTAAAGTTTTTTCAGGACAAAAAGACAGACACACAGACTGTGATAATACCTTTCATTGGATATTGAAAAACATTTGACCTTGATTTTAATGTGTGGCCTCCTCTTGAAAAATTTTAACCTTCACCATAACTTTTGAACCTTTATTGATAGGGCTTTCATATTTCACAAGTGTATTCCTTGTGCCAAGACCTTCCTTGGGATACCAACAATTTTGACTTGACCTTAGATTTTGACCCACTTAAATAATACCCTTAACCATTACTAGGGTATTTAAATTTGACAGGTATATTTCTTGTTAAAAGACATTCCTTTTGTTACCAATATTATTGACCTTTTCATTTTGACCTTTGACTTTAGCTTGCATTTGTGGAATTTCAACCCTCGTCATAAGCTGCTATATGGGGCCATCAGTGTTTCAGAAAACACATCTTACTTTCTACATTGTATGTTCCATGGAAATATAATTTGTAATACTAGCATTGAAATTTTCTGAGAAAAAATAATCAACTACATACCGACCAGTCGGGAGAGTCATCGCAAACCACGGCCAAAATGTACGATCCTCTCCCATTCTGGCCGTGGTTGAACGAGCAGAGAATATTTTGTAGCTCATTAAAATATCGACCAATGCGAGTAAAGCATAGTCGGATAATGAACTTTGATGCGACCTTTCAATATAATACCCAATCGCAGTGTACGAAATACTGCTGATGTAAATTGTTGATTTCAATTGCGATGGAAACAAAATTTGTCATTGACTGAATATGACTTCACAATAAAGAGGCGTAAATATTCAAGATTACGACACTTTTTGTGAACATGCAGCCACGGGTATTAGAGAGCTATAAGCGGACTCCGGAC